TAGACAACAAGGTGTTAGGAACAGATAGATAAATAGATAAATAGATACATACAAACATTTACAGATATAGAGATGATTAATTAAATGAATGTGTCCCTAGATAGATAGATAGATAAATAGATAGATTTTCGATGCATTAAGCCATCTTCAGGGCATTCTAAAACATACAAAATAACTCACTTAAATAATAGGTATTTAAAGTTTAAAAGAATTAAAAGATAGATAAACAATATGAAAATAAAAACAAATCAACACTTTTCAAGAATTATACTTTTCTAGGCTTTTAAAACGGTTCGCGCCCATTATCTTTTTCAACCTCTAATTCCGGCTTTATCTGGTCGAGCATCTTCTCATTTACAGAATAAAAAAAGTTTGCATATTTCATATTATTTTCTTTCGCGCATTTAAAAATTTTCCAAAAATAAAAACTTTTAATCACAAATTTTTAAGATTTTAATCTTTTATAAACTCTGCCCTGGGGTCTCGTGAGGTCCCACACAAAATTTGGACCCGATCGGTTCAGCCGTTTGACGTTTATTGGATACAAACACCCTGACAGAAACCCAGACAAGCAAAGTATACATAGATTCCCAGACAAGCAAAGTATACATAGTTTCAGTCGCAATCTCATCTAGAAGATAGATAGATAGATAGATAGATAGATAGATATATAGATAGATAGATAGATAGATAGATAGATAGATGGATAGATAGATAGATAGATAGATTGATAGAATAATATATGTTTGAATAGCTACAACGGAGCCTCTACTACCCTTTCTGTAGGCTTGATTATCACTGACTGGTAGCTTTAAACCAGTGAACTATGTTTAAGCGATGAGACATGGGAAGTCAAAAGTAGACCTATGATATTTCAAACATGGGATTAGAAAATTAGAATTTGTGCAAAAGGCTCAATTCTTTTGTGTATTTTTTCTCAATTCAATCTCAGCATAAATGATACATCGCAGACGTCTATATAATTTAATGAGACGTTTATTTCTTTATATTATCTAAATTTATTCATTTATTTGTTTAGCGATTTATGAAATATTTTATTTCTCTGATTTAAATTATGTTCATTATATGCACATTTGGTCGAACCCTTTTAATTTATAATGTCCACCTAAATTCGAAATCTAAAAGTGAAAGTTTGTGATGCAAAAAAAAACTATTTTTATTTCTATTCAAATTCTGGATTTCTTTTAAAACTAAAATTGCGTATTTTCTCTGGAAGTTAAAGTTATATAACTGGAGGGCGGGGGGTGTACGGTGTACCAGGAAGGAAGGGCGGCTTAAAGCAAGAAAAATGCCCCGTCATATACCATTTAAACTTTACTTCAAACACTAGGGATATAAAAAGGCTAAAAACAATTATAAACAGTCATAAAATATTTATAAATGTTTAAAAAATTATTTATTATTTTCTGTGTTAAGTTTTTTTTTACTTTTCTAGAGCTAAATCGCATTTTTTCTTATAAAAGTCATGAAATTCAAAACTAAAAGTCTCAAAATCCTATGGGTCTGAAAAAAAACCTTAAGATGTGCCTCTTCGGGCCTTGCAGGAGGGGGAGGGTGAGGGGGTCATGGTGTGTCTAATTTCAGTGTATCACTTCGTACCAGCCTGGTAATTCGGGGATTCCCGTGTAAAAGTCACAAACTTGGGATTCACAATAAATACATTTCTTACAGATTCTTATCCAAGCAAATGCTTCCTTGTCAGATTCTACAATAGAGTTTCTAGACGAAAAGGCCTTTTTTCGCACTCCTTTATATTTTTAAGCAACCTTTATTCGTATAGTTTCTGATTCACAACGGTACCCTTTAATTTGCTTTTCAATAGTGATTTCAACTGTCGTTACGGGTTACTTTTACAAAATAATAAATAAATAAACATTTCTAAGATAGAAATGAAAAATATTCAATTCATATTAATATTCAGACAAGACAGTTGTAAATCTGGCATCACCCTTTTTACATGTAGGGTCCATTTATACTACAAAGACAGTCCCTATAGCAAAATTTGTTATTTCTTAATTTTCCATAATTAAAAATCTTCAATTTTCAAGGCTTTTTATGTTTACTACTCTAACCAACTAAACACTGATCTGTTTAAAAACCATTTTTAATTTAGAACAACCCTATTCAAAATATCTTGCACGCTTGTTTGAGTTTAGCAGAGCGCATGAATGAAATAAAAAGTTCGTTAAATTCATTATTCAAAGGTTTTCACAAAATTCAGTTAACTGGAACTAACTTCCTTCCCGAAATGTCAAACTCTAGAAAAACCAGAATCTCAGGGCCGGTTTTTGAATCAGTTCGTTAAATTGAATTTAACATAAGAAATTAGAACCCAAATTTTACTCTTTTAAAACTCACACGCAGGCGGGCCGCACGCGTTTTTTTGTAAAAATATATTTTTTTTTGTACCTTGCATACTGTATAAATAGATATATGTGTACAGTTATAGTCTTACTCCTGATGTTATCCCTTATTGTATTTAGTTAGAAATATTATGTAAAATTCTGATGTTATCCCTAACTGTATTTAGACATATTATGTAAAGTTATGATGTTATCCCTAACTGTATTTAGAAATATTATGTAAAGTTCTGATGCTATCCCTTACTGTATTTAGACATATTATGTAAGGTTCTGATGTTATCCCTAACTGTATTTAGACATATTATGTAAAGTTCTGATGTTATCCCTAATTGTATTTAGACATATCATATAAAGTTCTGATGTTATCGCTAACTGTATTTAGGCAAATTATGTAAAGTTCTGATGTAATCCCTAACTGTATTTAGACATATTATGTAAAGTTCTGATGTTATCCCTAACTGTATTTAGACATATCATGTACAGTTCTGATGTTATCCCTAATAGTATTTAGACATATTATGTAAAGTTCTGATGTAATCCCTAACTGTATTTAGACCTATTATGTAAAGTTCTGATGTAATCCCTAACTGTATTTAAATATGTTATGTAAAGTTCTGATGTTATCCCTAACTGTATTAAGACATATTATGTAAAGTTATGATGTTATCCCTAACTGTATTTAGGCATGTTATGTAAAGTTCTGATGTAATCCCTAACTGTATTTAGGCATATTATGTAAAGTTTTGATGTAATCCCTAACTGTATTTAGACATATTATGTAAAGTACTGATTTTATCCCTAACTGTATTTAAATATGTTATGTAAAGTTCTGATGTTATCCCTAACTGTATTTAGACATATTATGTAAAGTTCTGATGTTATCCCTAACTGTATTTAGTCTAACTGTATTTAAACATATTTTGTAAAGTTTTGATGTAATCCCTAACTGTATTTAAACATATTTTGTAAAGTTTTGATGTAATCCCTAACTGTACTTAGACATATAATGTAAAGTTTTGATGTAATCCCTAACTGTACTTAGACATATAATGTAAAGATCTGATGTAATCCTTAACTGTATTTAGATATATTATGTAAAGTTTTGATGGTATCCCTAACTGTATTTAGACATATTATGTAAAGTTATGATGTTATCCCTTACTGTATTTAGGAATGTTATGTAAAGTACTGATGTAATCCCTAACTGTATTTAGACATATTATGTAAAGTTCTGATGTTATCCCTAACTGTATTTAGACATATTATGCAAAGTTCTGATGTTACCTTAGGGTGTATTTATATATGTTATGTAAACTTCTGATGTTATCCCTAACTATGTATTATGTATTACGTCAAATTAAAGTAACAAGATAACTACTAAATATGTAATTAAATGATATTTTTCAGCTTTGGGTGCAATACGGTGGTAGGCAATTTGTATCAATATAATGAAGACGACTTTCGATTTCAATTTTTATTTATATCAAGCTTTATAACAGCATGGGTACACCAAAAAATCATAGAAACAAAGAGAAGCTGTCAAATAAAAAATCCTCCTTTTTTACTAAACTTATAATTCGAAATAAAATTGTTAACAATTAAAACTTGAAAACAAAAGTCGTCTTAATAATATTGATATAATCGCTTACCACCGTATCAAAACTAAAAGTTTTACGAGGTAACAAAATCCACGGTCAATTCCGGTTTATTTCAGGAACTGAACCGACATCTAACCAGCTAGAGCGAGCTGTACAGTTCACACACAGATTATACCTGGCAAATAAACCTTCTAGAGAAATTCACGTTAATTGTCCAGATAGATTAGAAATTGTTCAAAAAAGTCGTTAGTTTAGTAAAAATTATTGTTTATTAAAAAGTGTGCTCGAAAAAAAAATTCGTTCGTTCAGTAAAAAAACGACCAAAATCGATTTTTTCTACACGACACCCTTTTTGACAGAAATAAGGATGGAGATATGCCAACCTAATCTTCTTAGAATTTTTTTACAATCTGATAACATTAATTCCTGCAATTCTACAGAGTTCCCCTATCATGCAAAGTATGCGGCAAATCCGTCAAGGGGTTCCTGAGCTATGATCGGAAATACAAACAAACAGAGATTACTACTTTGTATAAATAGATATTATTATTAAGAATTTGACAGATTATGATGAAATAACATGCCTCCTTTTCTTAACCACCTTCCTTATCTATTCAATTTAAAGTACAACAATTAGCATTCTTTAGCCACAAACATAATAAACTTTCAATATTAAAGTATCTTCAAGATTAGTGTATGACATGTGAATACTACCGTTCATAATCATAATTGTTTTTATTTTAATTACTATGGCACAAACAGAACTGATAATAGATAAATACAGATGGTAACACTGAAGGCAAAATTATTAAAACCAAAATTAAAAACCTCTAAAGCAAACATTGAACAAAATTTGTCAATTTATGCTTTGCTAGAAAAACGCATATTGCAGTTTTTAAATGTTCATGTCCGATATTAAAAAAAAGTATAAACGAGTTGGTGACGTAAAACCAAAATCCAAGCTGTCAGCAGACTTCTTTGTCGACGCGGTCTTAACATCTGATGAATAGCTTTCATAGTTGTCAAGATATATTTGTAAACATAAAAACAAAAATGTTCCAGATGAAATGACAGTGAAAACGTTTGATCAGGTAATTTATTTTTCGCAGTAAAGTTTTGCTCATAGTCAAAAATAGTTTAACCCTATTTAAGCAGATTACTTATTTAGTTTTTGAAACGTATGCAAATATTTTTGCTTATTTGAATTTGCAGTGTCAAGGGCTTTTCAAAAAGGTATTTTTTATCATGTTCGTGGACTTTTTGTATTTGAACAATTTTTACTGAAAAACTCGATTTTGAAAATTTACAATTTTTTTTGCAGATTATTATAGGAGTGCCTAAGGGCTCTCCAAAAATGTATCAAATTTTATAGATTTGTATCACAATCAGGAACAGACTATTGTGAGTAAATGAGACGTCAGCCTGAATAGTGAACAGGGTCAATGCAAGGAATTGGGATAAAATGAAGTTTTTGCCGCAAATTCTGATTTTTTGATTTTCTATGTCTTTGCAACTTGATGTAGACCTTCAATATTTCGAATTCCTTAAATCAAAAAGTCAAAGTTTGCAACATCATTAGTTGCAAAGTTACAGGGAATAGAAAATTTTAGTTTGTGGCTAAAATCAAGTTAATTTTGTATAAACATATTGATGAAGTTATTATTGCTTAAAACATAAAGGATAATTAAAACTAAAAAGTATATGACATGAAGTTCACATTAGTTTATGTATTTTTTCTGCAATTAAGATTAGGTGTATGCTGGAAGAATTTAAAAATAATATTGGAAAATGTAAAAAGCTATTTGTTACATATTTTTGTGGTATTATGTTGTTTTTTGAAGCGTACATCCCTATAGAGTACAAAAGTGAAGCTTTGGGCCAGTATGTTAATATATTTAAAAAATTAGATCCAAGCTGGCGCGAGCTTATGGCGACAATACTTCTTTTGTTCAAGCTTGTTCTGGGTCTCTATAACAGTGGGTAAATAAGTTCTAAATTAAAATATTTAATGTAAATTATTTAATTTTATTTTGTTGTTTTATAGGATATGTGACCGGTCTTATCAGTGTTCTGGAAAGAATGTTCTCTCTTCATATACTATTTTTATATTTTAAAATATACGGGCTAAAAAAATTGAGCCACAAAATTTTTTAATCCCTGATTTCAATCTGATGACGTAAACTTTTAAAATTTCAAACTCAGATTTTAAACTAACATAATTCATGTTTTAAAATATCAAGGTCTAAGACATTGGGTTTTATAAATATAGGAAATAGAAAATCAGAGTTTTTGGCAAAGATTCAAATTTTTTTAAAATTCATTTCTTAAATAAATAGAAGGTGTATTACTAATATTTGAAAGAACTTTATTGCGGGGGGGGGTATGGGGAAAGGTGTTCGCAAAAATGAAACTCCCTAAATCTGTATGGGGACTGCGTACCTCGGTGTGAGTCGTTTTTAACCTTTTATACGCAAAAGATAAAAGTAAAATTATCCATTCAAAATCAGCCTATACGGACTATTTTATTTTTTCGCAAACATCAAGTATTAAGTAAAAACAAGTTTTATGTTAAATGATGAGAAATATCTTTAAACAAATATAAGTTTTCTACGCACGGAAAGAAGATAAATTCTTTAAGAAGGTGATGTGCTCCATCCCTCAAAATGTTTTTAAAAGGTTCATGCACCCCGAACGAATTCATGCAAATGCTATATACAGATTAAAAAAGAGAGAAATTATTTTGCAAAATCTGCAGATGGCTGAAATCTCGCAGGGTGGAGATGGATTTCTGCTTTCTTCCTCACAGCTAAGCTGGGCTGCGGCTTCTGCACTACTAGTAGCGTGTCCTGGTATATTATACACTAACTGTAAAGGGACTGAGGCGTACATTTTAAGACCGGGACCTTTAATTTAGAGATGAATGCACAATTTACAACGGAATCATTAAAAGCTTTGTCTGATCAAGTATAAACCCAATTTGGTAGCCGTGAGACCGAATTTGATGAATTGTAAATGTCGCTTGACGTCCTAAAATCGGTTCAAATCCTGTATCGCTCATTCAAATCATGTTTGAAATGGTGATTTAGGATTTGAACCGGTGTCCGGTGGTTCAACGACCTACCTCAAATGAGAAAAATAGATTCATGATTAACAATTGTTTAACAGAAAATCTGACGAACGACAAGAAAAACACCATTTAAGTTGTTAGTTTAACAAAAATTCAAATTAAACTGTGACTTAATATGCTCTCACTTAAGAAATTTTTTTCGTTTTTTAAATACAGACCAAGCTCAGATTTCTTTAAGTTTAATACAATCATGTTTATTGATGAGGGGCATTAATTACTCGAATCATTAGTCCTTTTTCTTATTTATTATTAGCATTTAATGTCGCGTAACGCTCGTGCGAAAATGAAAGAAATTAAACTAAACACAATTTAAACTAAAGATTCTTTTTAAACAGTAACCTTTATCTGAGCATCAATTACATAATATTGATATTTAAAGTTCAGGTATAATAATCTAAAGATAAAAAAGAACATTTTTTAGCCTGAACAAAAATATATTCCTAAAATTATGTCATAAAAGCACTTTTTGGTGGAAAATGAAGCATCAAGTATTTTTTATTTTGTAGTTTAGCTAAGGACCTAGCAAAATTTATCTAAGTAAAATCTGTTTTTTAATTTTGTCGAATAAGTAACAAAGATAAAAGACTTATGCTTATATTTCTTTTATTTTCAGTCATGGTTTTTGGTGGACTTTTGGCAAAAAAGTTTGGTAGAAAAACTGGTGCTTTGCTAGTTTGTCCAGTATTCATTCTTGGTTATATATTTATCTATCTATCTACCCCAGCACTAATCAGCTTACTGTATATTGGTATATGTCTTCAAGGCCTTGGAATAGGTCTCCAGCATGCTTCTATATCATCTTACTTAACAGAGGTTAATATTATCTAAATATATAAAGTTGTAATCTCTGTTTGTCAATCCGATCATAACTCATAAACCCCTTGGCCAATTTGCATCAAATTTTGATTGGGGAACTTGGGAGAACCACGAAAATGTGTTTATTTTGGTTTTGAGATTCTAAGTTAAATAAGTCAACTTTGATAGAGATAAATAGCTAAAATCGTAATTTACGACCAAGTCTCTGGGGTAAACGGGCAACGCAGGGTTCCCAATCTAATATGTATTTAAAGTTGTATTCTCAGTTTGCCTGTTTGTTAGTACAGAGCGTCCCATATCATATTAGATTATCTCCAATCTTTAACACCAAAATAAACCCTTAATACTCGAAAAACTTTTCATTTTCCGCAAGAAAATTCTTGTATAAGACTTATGTTATTTTTCAAATTGATTCATTCTAATGAAATTTTCTAATTAGTCCCGAAAATCGTAATTTAGACCCGTTCTCGGTCTAATATGATGTGGGACACCCTGTATGTCCAATCTTAACTCATTTAAGCCTTTACCGATTTGCCTCAAATTTTTTCGGGGAACTCTGGAGAACCATGGAATGTATTCAGCTTGGTTTAGGGATTCTAAGTGAAATGGGTCGAAACTTGCATAAGCTAAAATAGTTAAAATCGTAAATTACGACCAAGCGCGGGTAAACGAAGGAAGTAACTATAAGTACCATGGGCAACGCTGAGCACTGAGATAAAGAAAACTCTGAAAGTTAGTCAATAATTTTTCGACGACCTCGACTTTTAAGTGTCACCCTGGCCTGACCTTTGGCTGTATCTCATCAATACACTTATACTTTTTGGTAGCCCTATTTATATACATTTTAAAATGTAACATGCTTGTTTCTAGCTGAAGATTAAAAAGAGTAATTGGCAAAATACTGCTTGATTTTTGCGTGAGATCTTGCACATCTTAGTTTAGTGTGAGTTCTTAAGCTATTAAACAATATATGTTCACACCTTTTTCTTTGGCTACTCGAACGGTTTGAAAATAAGCAAAATTTAAAAAATTCGCCTTTAAAACAANTATGGATTAGATATGCATCAAGTATGGATTAGATATGCATCAAGTATGGATTAGATGTGCATCAAGTACGGATTAGATATGCATCAAGTACGGATTAGATGTGCATCAAGTATGGATTAGATTTGCATCAAGTATGGATTAGATATGCATCAAGTATGGTTTAGATATGCATCAAGTATGGATTAGATATGCATGAGTTTATTTGCTTAAACTATTCAATATTTATTTGTGGCTTCTCTGGAAAAGTGACTTTCTTGCTTATAAGAAACAATGGAGAAATTGGCAGAAATAAACACATTTCGAGTCGGAAAAACGAAGTTATATTTTACAATGTGTGATCAGGCTGCAATTACGTTGGGTTTTTAAGAAACCATTGCGAAGCGGGTCGGGGCATTACTATCTGTTAAAGGAGATTCACATTAAGTTAAACTTACAGTTTTCTGAATTTTGACAAATACTATAGTAAAATCGAAACTTTGCTGTATGATTATCAGATTTCTTTTGAATTGCTAAGCCATGATAAGATAAAATAGTTTAGTTGATTAACCTGGCATTTAATGCAATGAATTCAGGTGTTTGGGTTTGCCTTGGCCAAGTGTTGCCTATAATAGAAGCGGCCTGTGGACTGGATTGGTACAATATATGTTTAATTGGAATAATCTTTCCCACCATAGGTCTCCTTACTATTCCATTTATACCAGAATCTCCTTCTTGGTTTGTTATTAAGGTAGGTTGGGATTTTAGATAAAGCACATGTCTGTCTGTTTGTTGGAGGCTAACTTTGAACGGCTAGTATGTAGAATTTGTTAAGGCCCTAATTGTTGTGATCTCTTTTGCTTTAAGTTTTATGATGTGTCAAAATTAATGAACTTGCCTCAAAAAAGAAATCCACTGATGAAAATGAAGAAAAGTGATTTCTTTTTAGTGAATAACAGAGAAATTTTTGCACTTAAACTCACTTACAGTAATTTGATATAATTATAAAACTCTTTTGCAGATACAAAAAAAAACATTAAACATGGCCAGATGCAAATTTTTTTCAGTATTGATAATAATAGATGTTATATCTCAAGGAGATATTGAATAGAAGGAGAGGGCGATAGGGTTTCCGTACACTTTGCTGTGACGTTTTTGGACTGCTGAAGAACTAGTTTTTGCGTAACAACAATAATAAAGATTGTAAACAATAACNAATGTCTCTGTAATAAGGTCCTTTTCGTATAAAACTAAAATCTTAAACTTTTTCAATCTTTTTTAACAAGATTTAATACTACTTTCACAGTTTACTAACTCATGTTCGTTTACATTAGATCGGCTGCCTTTGTTATTGTTGTTGATATGTTTTTGTTGCATTTGTGAAACCGTCTCAGCATTTACAAGATTTCCCACAATGAATAAAACTTCAATTACGACCAAAATTTCTTTAATGTGTGTTTCGTGAACTTTTGCTAAAATCTTTAATTGGGTCTTGAACTTAAAGCCATCCAAGGCGCAGATAGAACGGGTAGAAGCAACAACTTTTATTTCCTCAGTATGTTTATATGCTGAAAAATACATATTATTAATATGAAAGAACTAATGAATAACAGTAGAAAACAGATTGATAGCTAATAAAAATAGAATTAAGAATTGATAAATGGTTGTACCTAATACGCTCAGGTTAGTTCTAAGTCATGCTAAGACTTTGACTGTACTGATGAACAATGGTTTTCATATGTAAATTGTCAACTTTACTAAACCATCAAAGTTTTTTTAAACACTCGAACTGGTCAGAGATAAACAGAGAGGGGGGAGTCTACTGCAATTTTTCAGTAAAATCATAGAGAAAATACAAAACAGACATTTCGACCCTAGCTATTTATACAGTTATAATAATGTGCAGTAAAACCACGAAACCACGAAAAATGATTTAAAGGTATTCTGTCTGCACATAATAGTGTTTGAAAGAAATAAGAAAAAAAAAATAAGAAAGAAAAATAAGACTAAGGAATTTTCTGAAGTCTCATCCTTTGTTGGTAACCTTGGATAAGCAAAATCAAACTTGAGATTTGAAGTTTTAAAAATGAGCTTGTCTCATCATGGTAACAATGTTATTAAGGGAAAGCTTGTACAAGCAAGGATCAGCCTGGTAAAACTGAGAGGCCCAAATTATCCTGTTGATGATGAGCTTGTCTATTTACAAAAATCCTACGCATTTACTCAACAAAACACGACATCGTTCAGGTCAAATTTTTCTCATTTCCATGTTGATTTTATTCAAAGAATAATTTTGGAAAATGTTGTGAAAATTTTTAAGATTAACTAAATAAATTTTAAGTACATAAAAACTGTTTCTGGAAAATTACCATAATAGTTAACAAATTATAATAAAAATATGAATAATAAAACTCCAATTTTTGAATTAAAAAACAATTTTCCAATAATGTGTTTTTGCCTAAGACGCCATCAAATTAAAATATGATTTCTTGGTCCCTGTACTTCGTTTCATAAATCCCATTAATGCTCTCTCTCTATATGTTTAGATATATCTCACAAAGTATAAATGAATGTGATTTATCAGCTTTTCTATTGATTGATCTAAATACATCTGTTTATGTTTATTCTTGTTGAACTAGTTTACTATGTGTTTGTAGGGGCCCACACTTCTATTTGTTGCAGTACGTTAACTCTCAGACTGCCTATAAGGTTCTAAAGTATATTTTGCTCTTCTAAGGTTTCCGCTAATCCAGCCTGTGCTTCCAGAAATCCAGCGAAAGCATGACTAACCATAGAAGATCACAAGTTCGGAGCTGTTCCTCCATTGTTGCAATCCTCTGTTTAGTCTTGATATACTTTCGATATGCAATCTTCAAATCCTTTCTTTCAGGGAACTCTTCGATTAACTGTTCCAGTTCCGTGAGCAGCTCCCTGGGATCCAGAATTCTCATTTAGCTGCTCTGGATCTCTAAACTTGAAGCTCTCATTTAGCTGCTCCCGACCAGGGTGTTCCTGAACAGCTTCGCCAATCTCATCTAGCTATAATAGTTCAAATCTCTAAATCTACACACTTCGTTCAGCAGCTCAGGAGTAGGATCGCCCTGAGCATCAGCTTCCTCAGATTCAGCTAAGTCCTTTAGCTCTATATCCAGATGAGGAGTACCAGGGTTGGAGGATTCAGATGGGGATATATCTCTAAACTCATATGCTTCGCTTTGCAGTTTGGGAGTAGGTTTGCCCTGAGCAGTTGCTTCAGATTCAGATAAGTCTTCTCAATATCTGGACTAAAAGTCCTAGGATTGTAGGATTCAGATGAGAATGCATCTTTTTTTTAACCAGGGCATCCGTTCTTCAACTATAGCTTGTAGTTTGTCGACTACATCTTCCATATCTCCTGCTGGTTCATAGAATGTTTCTCCAGTTGTCCTAGCTGCTCCTGGAGTTAAAGGATACTCCGGGGTTGGAGATTGAACTGGAGGAGTATCCCTTTCTCTGGTATCTCTGTGAAGTTCTAACCCTGCATCCAAGTCTGATGTTTCCACAGCTGCTGGTTGGGGAGCTGTCTGTAAAGAGCAGCTTTCCCTAAGTCTCCTATAAGATCTTGTGAACCATAAACCTCTGGGTTTCTCAACCATATCAGGAGGACGGTAGATCCCATTCTCATAGATCCTTGAGATCTTTTCCTCTCTTGGAGTCATTGGTCTATAATGATATTCTAGCTGCACTTGGCCAACAGCATGGTTGAGTCATTGTATAGAATCTAATGAGTGCAAAGCAGCTTCTGATGTACTTGCAAGACAGTCTCGTCCTCCTCTATTTATAATTCTTGGTTGTTTGCATCTCCAGTGTTTCTGTTCATAGAACCAGCTGGAGGAGTTTCCCTAACTTGTAGTTGAGCTAGCCGAACTGTAGTTGGACATTTGTCCTGGAGCTTTTGGTTTCTCTATATCTCCAGCGGCCCTGTTTAAAAGACCAGCTCAAGATTATAGAATTTCGTCTGGTGTATCTGGGTCCCTGATTGGACTAGCAGGAACTGTTTGGTGGGTAGTCCCGACTGGCCGGTACGTGTATAATCGGTGCGGTTCCCGAAACTGTAGGAGATGAATCTCTTGATGAGACTGATGAGTCTGATGATACATATTCATGTATAATGATGGGGGAAGATGCTGGTGGTCTTCTGTGTTCCCTAGTAGGCATGTTGTAGATTCATCTATCTGTTAACTGTATGTTGTGCAAGCCACCCAGCGTTCCTATACAGTGGCTGTATTCTAGAAAGGTTGGTTGTGTACTTTTCTATCTCCAGATTTTCTTCTCTGCTCAGAGCTGGAGCAAGGGTTGAATGNCAGAGTCTATAGTTTGAATTATCTAAGGTCTAAGAAATTGGAATCCCAAAATATATAGTTCAGAAAAGCATAATTTGTGGCCAAGGCTCAATTCCTTTAATCTTGCGTATCATATAATTCTTTTCCGATTTCTCTTCTGGTAAAATGCCAATATTAAAATATTGCAATAAATATTAAAAATGCAACATCTTAGAAACAGTATTTAAATATACTTTTTTAACATTTATTTTAGAATATTTTTTTTTTATTTTTTCAAAAAGAGCATTGAATTTAAATTCTGTAGCTATTGTATCTTCTTTTTTAGCTGATCATAGATCTATATTCTGTTCCTCTTTTATAGATCTATGCATTATAATCCATTGTAGGAAAAGGAAATATGAATTTTGACGCATATATCTGCTGTTTTTCTCCCTAATTTTACGCATATTTCCCAGAGCTGCAGCTCTCTCTTTGGCAATTTTCTTTTTCATACTATGCTTTAAATTGATATCTTGGCGCCAGAAATATCAAATTAAAAGTCCAATTTCTCTAATGAAGTATATTGTTGAATTTTTGCTGATGCAGCTATTTGCTCCAGATTGTTCATAATAATTCATACAGGAGGTTGGAAAAAAATTAAATCACTGCTAAGCAGGGTTGGGAAATTTTGAGGATCCTTTGACAGAATTACGCTATTATAATGACAAATAGGATAAGAAAGGTTGGGCAAGAAGTGGATATGGAAAGAATTCTTGATTCTTGTAAGATTTATTTCAAACATGGTACTGGCATCTTGATGCTCACAGATAGAACCAGATTCAATTGAAAGAATTAACGTCTTTAAGATGAGTTCGGATACTTCATAACAACGGCTAACCATGCTTGTTATTAAGGAGTATATTTAAAGCTGTTCGTTACCCGTAGCAAAATATAGATCCGCTAAGGTTATCCTAGAAATAATATTTAGTACGGTATCCTAGAAATATTATTTAGTGCGGTATCCTAGAAATGATATTTAGTGCGGTATCCTAGAAATGATATTTAGTGCGGTATCCTAGAAATGATATTTAGTGCGGTATCCTAGAAATAATATTTAGTGCGGTATCCTAGAAATAATATTTAGTGCGGTATCCTAGAAAACCAATCTTCACAACGAGCTGTATTCTTGTTTGAGGATGGAAGGATTAAATACGAGAATAAAGGTGAACATAAATCCTGGTATTGAGTGGAATATAGGATTGATTGATTGAAATGTGGTTGATTGATTGACAGGAATGGGAAAGGAGCGGATAGGGGTATCTGTCATGGTACATGTATAAATTAACATTACTATTTAAGAACAAAATATAATAATTGCATTACATTGATTTGTCATGAGAAAGTTGTCATTAAATAATGATAGAAGTCTTGCTAGTTGGCACGTAAAGTGAGGATTTAATTTGAAATAATTTAAGACTTGAGGTTGGATAAATAAACAAAGTTAATAAGAATACAAATTGAAATAATTGTATTGTTGGATAAATAAATAAAATTATTAAAAATAGAATTTAAATTGACGTATTGATTGACATTACATTTTGTTATTGGTAATTTCCAGTCTACTTGGTTTTACAATGAAAAGGTTGACCTATGGTATTTGAGAATTAGTCAGCTAATATATCCGGTGGTATTTGAAATTAGACAGCTAATATATACTAGAGGTTTAAACGTTATATCATAGATCAGGCAATCTGAGTGAAGTCTTGAGAACAAATACCGGCGGGTTCTGAGGTTAACTGCAATATCTTTCCTCTTTTTATCCTCAAATTAATTATTGATTTAAAATAAAGAACAGTGGTGTTAAAAAATTGCAATAAGTTTGAGAATTAAGATTCTTGAAATTTTAAGTTTTTAGATTTTAAATCTTGGGATTAAACTTGATTTTAGTAAATTGTAAGGAATTAGAAGAAATGTTATTTTCCTTGGAAAATAAAAAAAATGTAAAATATTTATGATTGGAAACCCTTTAACCAGAATTCAGGTGAGCTCTATTACTCGTTGTCTTAAGCTGGTCCACTCTGAGTTCCTCCTTCCAAATTCTCCTGACTCNTGTTCGTTTTCAGCAACCTGTCAAAGAAAATTTGCACATTTTTAGTTTTTCTTGATTAAAAATCAGGTTATTTAAAATTTTGCAAACATTTTTGCATATTTGAAATAGCATGGTAAAGGGCTTTTTAAAAATGTATAATTTTTCATTTTTTGGACAATTTTTAAGGAGTATATTTAAAGCTGTCCGTAGCAAAATATGGATCCGCTAAGGTTATCCTAGAAGTAATATTTAGTACGGTATCCTAGAAATATTATTTAGTGCGGTATCCTAGAAATTATATTTATTGCGGTATCCTAGAAATGCTATTTAGTGTGGTATCCTAGAAATAATATTTAGTGCGGTATCCTAGAAATAATATTTAGTGCTGTATCCTAGAAATAATATTTAGTGCGGTATCCTAGAAATGCTATTTAGTGCGGTATCCTAGAAATAATATTTAGTGCGGTATCCTAGAAATAATATTTAGTGCTGTATCCTAGAAATAATATTTAGTGCGGTATCCTAGAAATAATATTTAGTGCGGTATCCTAGAAAACCAATCTTCACAACGAGCTGTATTCTTGTTGGCCTCGGTTTGGCAGGTACAGCAAATAAAGAAAAAAAAATTATTGAACTAAATTGAATTTAAAAATGTTTATTGAGTAATGGAATTGTTTCTTTGCAAACAATTTCCAATCCCTAATTATCTTAGTCACCTGATGGTGTAAACCTTCAATATATCAAACTATTAACCATTGATTCTGTCAGATCAAATAATCTAATGTTGAAATTTCATAAGTTTACACCATCAGGTTGCTAAGATATAATGATTTTTCTTCTTATTTTATCAGTTTTTTGTAAAAAAAAAGAATCTTTTAGGTCTTGGAGCCTCTATCATTTTTAACCCTGCTAAATCTGAATTGTTTCAACCTGACACAAATTCATTAAATTTGACCCTCACCACAATTCCAGGTTAGTTGTAAACCATGGTTTTTACTTTTAAAAACGGACATGCAAATTGACACTCAAAGAGAAATTATAACTCTATATATACCGATTCTACTTATAGTAAAAGTGAATAATATCGTTTTTTATTCTAGAAGTTGTTATTTAGGAATCTTGTAATTGATATGTTTAGAAGTTATTGAGGAGTCGAGTCTGATCAATTTCTTGCCTATTTTCTGTTTTTGCACAGCAGCATTTGCAGTTTGTTTTGGGTTGAGTCCAATACCTTGGGCGTATAGTAATGAATTGTTCCCACTAGATGTCAGGTATGCAATACTATATTATACTGAAAGCTAGGGTTATTTTACGGTCATACACTGTTTAACCCTATCTCTGCTGGGGTACTTGAAAACCAGGATATGCTGATTTCCAAATATGACAAATGATACATTATTAGAAAGCTCTTGTGCTCTACTTTTAGAATCTGCAAAAAAATTTGCAAATTTGCAAAAATTTAATTTTTTATCGCAAAATCCAGTTTTATAGTAAAAATGTTAGCAAAATATTTGTCCAAAAAATGAAAAATTATACATTTATTTGANCAAAAAAAAATTTGTCCAAAAAATGAAAAATTATACATTTTTGAAAAGCCCTTGACCATGCCATTTCAAATATGCAAAAATTTTTGCAAAATTTTAAATAACTGATTTTTAATCAAGAAAAACTAAAAATGTGCAAATTTCCTTTGACAGGTTGTTTCAAAAAATTCAGACCAATATTTGTTGAGTTATGTAAAAAAACTACAGGGGGGGTCAAATTGATCCCCCCCCCAGCAGGAATAGGGTTAATCTGAATATCCATGTATTGTGGAAACTTATGATTTTCTTAATCCTCTCTTTTGGTACACTCTGATTAATTCACCGAGATACCTATATGGTCAAATGCCATAGGGTCAAACGACCTATGGTCAAACGACCTATGGTCAAACGAAAACGGTCAAAAATGCGACAAAGGGTAAAACGACAAAGGGGTAAAATAACATAAGGTCAAAAAGTGCGACAAAAGTGTAACATTTTAGTAGCTGCAGCGCTCGGCCCCCTAGCATGTCCTAGCCGCAGCGCTCTGCCCATAATTGTCTTAATCTAACCTAAATCTGAAATAATACATTGATATTTTTTTCCATTTAGACCCTGTGTCGCGTTTTTGACCGTTTGTCGTTTGATCATATGTCATTTGGCCATAGATCCTTTGACCCTATGTCGTTTGATCCTAAGTTGTTTGACCCTATGTCGGTGAATCCTATTAGTAGAATCTTAGGCACTTTAATGGTGAAAGATTAAAAATAAGAGGAGATCAATCATTAATCTCGATATCCACAATGCTAAAGTTTTAACCTCTGATTACTTTCAGACCTTAATAGATTAAAAAAGTCGTTTATAAGTCTATCCTTTGTGGTAATGTTGAAAAAATAATCACCAACGTAGAGCGAAACCGACAATTGAGAGATATTAGTAAAGAAAGAATATATAGGACCAGAATCCAAAAATAGTTTGACCTTTCGTCTTTTTTTACACAGAAATATCCAAAACAAATAATGCCGTGTCTATTCATTCATTAATTTATAGTTAAATTAAATTAAATTATATTATTCGCTACTTCATTCAAGATTTTTTTTATTATTTGAACTTGCACGTTTATGAGTTGATTTACTGAATATTTGCCTCAAATTCAAATTTTCTTATCTGTTTTGCTTTACAGTCCGATGCTGTAGACCATTTTTTCAAACTTTGAATTTTCCAACATTTGAAATATCGAAGGCTTACATCCTCAGTCTAAGAGCTTTAGTTTGATGGGACTGGGAGTCATCATTGATTCTGAGTTTATTTGCAGATCCCAGCTTTCCGGTTTAACAGCCAGCTTTGTTCAGATTATTGCATTTGCTCAGGTGCGGTAATATATATTACTAGGCGTTAAGGGCGCTTCGTGCCCATATTGAAACTTTTAACGTGCCTTTATCTGTGAGCTCTTCTCTTTGTACAGTGTAAAAAAAACATTAAAAAAGTTTGCGGATTTTCACAATATTTTTTCGCGCATTTTCCAAATTTTATAAAATAAAAAAAAACTAATTTTGGAATTTTTGATTCATAAGTCTCGCGAGGTGCCACAAACAATTTGGGCCCGAACGGTTCGGCCGTTTTGACGCTTATTGGATGCAATCAGACAAGCAATCATCCCAGAAGGAATTTAAGTTGCATTTTCGAATGTGAGATACTAATGAATGAGGAAGTCCGGTTTTGACTGTTATAAATTCAGTGATATATGTATTGGGACGATGTACCTTCTCTTTAGGTTTTGTTTCGTAAAAAATATACAATATTCATGATCTAAATTTCAGGTAAAAACTTTCCCAGCTCTGAGTGAATGGGTCGGTATTGGTGAAGCTATTATTTTCTGTGCAGCAGTATCGTTTCTAGCAGCTGTCTGGGGGGTAAGCTACAGAATAAGTATTATCTCTAGCATCTGTCAGGGGGTAAGCTACATAATTAGTATTATCTCTAGCAGCTGTCTTGGGGGATAATCTACAGAATTATTATTATCTCCAGTAGCTGTCTGAGAGGGGTAAGCTACAGAATTTTTATTATTTCAAGCAGCTGTCTGGGGGGTAAGCTACAGAATTAGTATTATCTCTAACATCTGTCAGGGGGTAAGCTACATAATTAGTATTATCTCTAGCAGCTGTCTGGGGGGTAAGCTACAGAATTATTATTATCTCTAGCAGCTGTCTGGGGGGTAAGAGGGGGTTCTTTGACCCAGTGTTTATAGTGATCATTCATTCGGCATTATTATTATTTGTATCTATGCTGTTTAGGGGTAAGCTACAGAATTATTAATATTTGTAGCTGCTTTTTGGGGGATAAGCCAACGTAGTCGACAACATTGTACTAACTGTATTTAACTATACCATCGTGCCATTTTCCTATTTTAACACTTTTAACTTTTTACTCTTGACCGTCCATAAACCTTCCCTGGGGTCATGTGACTTACCAAAACTATGTTTTTCCAATTGATTCGCCCATTTGGACGATTTTTTATGAATTTAGATTGTCGTGCTACCTGAAACTAAAGGGAAAACCTTGCATCAAATAAACCGAATGTTCTTTACTGAAGACCAGCTAAAGTAAGATTGACCATTTTTTTTGATTATCTATTCTTTAAAATTTTACCTTTCCATAGAATAATGTTCTATAAAGAAAGTCCAAAGAATGTTTTGGGAATTTTAAATTCTTTAAAATCAGGCGTGAAATTATTCTTCTTAATCATGCCACCATATATATCAATATTATCATTATTATCATAAAAACCATACAGCCAAGCATGCGATAACATTTTTTTTAGGTAAAATCCAAACCAAACACGTAATAAACTTTCTTTTATACTTTTTTTAGGATGAAGATTAAAGAAGTTGATGTTCATATGGATGTAATTAACCGTAATGTAACTGCTTAAACTGTAATTTTCAAGTTGTATGGCAGGATATTATCATAAAAGTAAATGTAGGCAAAAGTTCATTCAGTGGCCGAATTTAATGAATTTGAGCGGCGGTTTAAATTCAAGCCGCGGCTTAAATATGGTTGATTCCACTTAAAATTGTATCAAATGTTTCCAGATTTAAGCCGGCGCTTAATTTAAACCGGGTTTTGGCAGATTTAAACCGCGGCTCAAATTCTTTAAATTCCATCTCTGAAACAATCAAATTCCAAGGGAATTAGTATGGTTTACAACTTTGAAATGTTAAATAAAGTAAATTTAAAACTAAATGATCTCCAAAAGAATGCAAAAGACAAGCATCTTTCATGCATGCATAATAATATTTAAAATATTTTGCAACAAAATCTAAAAGTAAATCTAGTATTACAATTTATATAAAATCTTTAATATTCCATAAGTTATTTTGGATCTCTAAGACAAAAATATAAAGAAAAAATGTTAGGTCCGTTTTGAAACATTTAAGGTATTTTGGCTTTAATTAGCATGAAGCTCACAGAAATTAAATAATAAATCTTAAAATTTTTTTTTTCTTTTTTAATTGAAATAATCGTTATCAGCTCGTTAATGACTGGCACCATTGATTGGATCAACTTAAAAGTGAAACCTCCAGTCAAAACTGAATTGCTAGTTTACATACAGTAAAGCCCTTAATAACGAAAACATCGAAAGAATTCATCAAATGTCGTATTCTTCACTTTCTGATAATGGAATGTTGCAGATATTTTAATTAAACAATTATATGGAACTCTTTAAAACTGTTCCCGCATATTCATGGTTATTTATTCAATTTCGCAAATACTGAAAGACAACATTTGATAAATTCTTCCGATGTATTCGTTATTAAGGGTTTCACTGTAAAAAAGTGAAAACTATATTTTTACAACTCTGATACAACTATATTTATATAACTTATATATGGGTAACAATCATTGATCCATTAATAGACCCATCCTCAGCTACTTTTTCATTTTCTACTTTCAGACGGGTTCTACGCAGCTGGATGTATACACTAAACATGAAAATAAAATTTTACATTTTTATAACATGAAAATAAAGAGATAGACAGAGTATCGTCATGATCCGAATCGGTACAAGGATTTACCGATCTAGTGCAATGGAACACATTTACTCATACCAGCGTGTCTTATGAGTTAGGTACTCTCCCAAAGGCTTTCTTCCAAACAGCAACTTCCCAAGGGTATTTTCCTATGTGGCAACTTCCCAAATGTGCAATTTCCCAAGCGGCAACTTCCCAAGTCTGTCCTAGCTGCAGCACTTTGATTCCAAGCTTTTTCTAGCCGCAGTGGTCGGCCCCATAGCTTATGCTAGCCGCAGCGTTCGGCCATTTTTCAGCGTGCGCCGCCTCAGAAGGCCTAACCTAACCTTTGGGAAGTTGCCGCTTGAGATGATATACATTTGGAAAGTTTCTACTTGACAAATTGTCACTTGGGAAGTCACCCTTGGGAAAATGCCTTTGGGAAAGTACCTAACACCTCTTATGAACCCAGTGTTTCTTTGACCCAGTGTTTATATGGGACCAAGTATGCAACAAACTCAGGCTGTGCGGGAAAATATATGTGTATTCTTTCCTGAAGGATTATCTAATTTAGATTTTTTGTCTGAAATTATAAAATACTGATTGACTTTTTGAGGAAAGAAAAAAAATGACAAAAATCACTGTTTTTTTGGCTATCGATCCATTACATGGATTACAAGTAAGTCAAGTGCAAGGCGTTGCCCGTGGAATTTTCAGACCGCATTTAAAAGCAAAATCTGAATTTTTAAGAATCTTTTTTAGCCAGTGTTACCTCAAATAGGTTTCCTGAAATAATGTCAGCCAATTTGGACCAAACTGTTTGGCCAGTTTTAGCTTACATAGAGGGTTACCCACAAAGGATGAGACTGTAAAGACGACCCAAAACTCTAAAATATGACAATTTGAATTATGATTTTTGGTTTCTGCATTTATTTGAGTATTTTGATGTTTTACTAAATTATTAAGCACAGAAATGAACCAGTTTTGGCCTAAAAGGAGCCCTGAAAGCTAATGAACGAACTAAACAAATTTCGTACAATCCGAATCGTTTCTGAAGTCTCATCCTTTGTGGGGAACCTTTTATATATATATAAATATATATTTATTTATAGATTACCTTATTCCACCAATGCATAAACACAAAATGGAGGCTAACCCAAGAATAATCGCCAAGATCTTAAAACAAATATTATGGTTTAACAATATTCTTTCTAACATTTTGTTTAACTATAGTGGCGACCGTTTATATTGACACAAATTCCCTTTTTTTTTAATTAAGTAACCGTTCGTTAATATTCTTATTTTATTAACAGGATTAGAAATAGAAATACCCAATATTTATTTCTGCCTTCACCATTAACAGTTGGTATATTTGTTTCCGAGAGTTGTACTCTTTTCTTTTGGGATTTAATTTTCATAAAATACAGAAGTCCACATTATTAAAAACCATTATTGTACATTATAAAAATCATTTTTTATTTCTTTTATCTGTGAGGAGTCTTGTGAGGACAGAAAAATTTGGTTGAGCCACTTTGATCGGTTGTGCCATTTGGCTTTATATATAAAGAAACCAGCAATATAAGCAAATGAACAACGCACCAAACAAACCAAATGCATGTGATTGAATATTAAGATGATGTTAGTCAAATTAAATTTCACTAGATGGTGATCATTCATTTGTCGTACTGTCCCATTTTGCTTGCACATAGGTGCTTAAAATTGAGCCCAGCACTCAAAATGAACCGGAGTTTACTGTAAGTAAAGCTTTTACCTTAGTGCTCCTTAGCTTTGTTAGGGGACTAGTTTCTTCCTGTGTACTGTTTAACCCTGGGGATGAAATAAACCTGGTTAAGTTTTGTATTTCAGCACGAAGAACGCTTACACCATCAGTTTCATGATGAACACCAACCATCACTGAAGTTACATTGGTCACAATGGAGTTTGTAGAATCATCATTGGTATCCTTAACTTGTTTTAAATAATCAATATTTTTGGCTTCTTTAGCATTTAGTGGAAGTGAATCTGCATGATTCAGTACATTTTCAGGTGGTTGATTAAGCACAATAATACCATTATGTACACTAACAGTAACATCTTCTGTAGCTAAGACTACATTTACCTGAAATATAAATAGTCAAATTCTGGTTTTAAAGAGGTTGTTCATATGTTTGGATGATGTTTAGAATAATCAATTATTGAACAAATGATTCTAGTTACACACAGAAAGCGTTCATATATATTTAAAGCTAATTACTTCGCAATGATCTGATTGAAGTTTATATCCGATAGACTTTAGTGAAAACTGAAGAATAGGAAGACGACATTAAAGTAATATTGAAATGTTAATTTGATGTTGTTAAAAAGCGAAAATCTCTGCTAGCAGGTTATTTAATCACTTTTTAAGTGAAATGAGTCTATTTATACTTGCATTGGACTTTTAAAGTCATAACTTGAGTTGACTTCCTGTTCCAGAATTTTCTGGTTATTGCACTGTATTTTAGGTAATGTAACTCTGTACTTTAAGAAGCTCTATGGAGATTGGAGATCATCATCAAGGTCCGAAAGCAGAGCTTATTAAACCTACTTTGTAGTTCGCCATTGGTTCATCAAAATGAAATTTGAATTTACTGACATCAGACAAAAACTACAAAGTTGTAAATCATAAAATATCTAACTTAACCCTATTTAGACTGACTTCTGATTTACTAACTGCCTGCCAGGGAGGGGGGGGATGTCAAATTGACCCCCCCCGTTTATTTCTTATTGTGATACAAATCTATAACATTTGATACATTTTTAGTAAGCCCTTGCACTCTACTTCAATAATCTGCAAAAAAATGGCAAATTATCAAGCAAAAAATGTGCACAAAAACAAATTGCTCAAATTAAAAAAAAAATTATACATTTTTGAAAAGCCCTTGACCCAGCGAATTCAAATCTGCAAAAACATTTGAAAAATTTTTAAAACCTAAATGTGTTTTCAAGAAAACTGAAAATGTGTAAATTCCCTGTAAAAGCGTCTGTGCAAAATTTCTTTGCAAAAATTGTGCAATCTGCATGCTTTTGTTATAGACTTTTCAAAGAGCTATAAAATGTAGAAATCCAATAACTGGAAGTAGGTCTTAACCTAAATTTAGTCTGGTATAGGTAAAATAAGGCATTTAGGCAGTATGCCTGAGACAGGCAATAGGTATAAAAGCCCAGCTTTTAGCCTTAAGTGAGGGGCATATGTTAGTTAGAAAAGCCAGAAAATTTGAGCTTCCTAGCTAAAATACTTTTTGAGTTGACCACCCCCAGGCCAAGTAGGGTTAAAACTAGGATAATTACTCAAAATATTTGCCATGGATGGTGGGGAGAAAACTAAGTGATTGTTTGATATACACCAACATCAGCTTACAAAATGTTCTAAAACTTTAGAAGAGACAAAAAAATATTAAATATAACACAAATCAGAACTAATCATGATAAAACAAGGGGTAGTTTGCAGTTTTTTATTCACAGATATCTGTTAAACATGATCCCGGTCGAGAATAATAAAAATCCTCATATTTCTCAGTGGCATAATCCTAATTATCAAAAGATCTAAACAAATACAAAGAAATCTGAACCTGTGATTGCAAACAGAAAACTTGTAAAAATGGCACCCTCAGCTCCATACAAGGAATCCTTGCCTCATCTGTTCCACAAAAGCATGCTCCTACAAATCAATTGACCTTTTTTTATCGCACTGTATTTTATATGCTTTGTTGAAGGGATTGTTCAACATTCATAAAAATGAACTTTCAAGGTGTCTCCACTAAACATGGCTGTTGAAAGGCAGCTTAATTTAGTCTTGAATCTTTGATAGCTATCTGTTGTTGTGATACCCCCCCTTGAACGCCTAAAAGCATAGAGAATAGAATATATACATATTATATTCTCTATATGCCTAAAAGGCATTGCTACCTTCAACTTCAAGTAAGCATGATTTGAAAGACACCATGCCAACATTTTGGAATCGTAATACGACCATCACTGAAATTTATGTTTTTTTTAAAAAACTTCTTAAGTTTATGTGTTTAAAATCTATAGTTACCCTCAGCTTCTGAATACCAATGCATTGCTAAAGATGCACAGTGATGTAAACAGCTGATTCCTGCTTCTGCTCCAGTGTATATTTCCATGTGGACAGTTGTACCTCCAGCATTTTCATCCGTTCTAGGGGGCATTTCATGGGAAACCTCTAAACAATTGGGATTATTTGGAAATTTTTTGAGTATCAATAACTAGTTAATAAGTAGTTAGAAATTGATACATCAAAAATTCCCAAAGGTTAACAGACAAATGAACAAAAGTAAAATACCTTTATTAACCAAAAGAATTGAGTTTTAGCCACAAGCTCAAAATTTCTAATTTATTTATCTTTGCCTCCTGAGTGTAAAGACCTTTGATATTTTAAACTCAAATTATTTGATCTAAAATTATTTAAGAACAATTATGCTTGAAATACCTGACATGTCCAAAGATGCAGTTTGGGAAGAAAATTTAACACAGCCACAGCTCTTTTCCGCTAGAACCTATTACATGTTAATTATGCTTAGCTTTTTAAACCCAGGGGAAAACATCAAAAAAATTTTTATGTACAATATCGATAATAAATTGAATATATAGTTGTAAAAACATTGGTGGGTGTAAAAAATAATTTGTTAGGTTGGCTGGTTGGTCAATTGGTTGGTTGGTTTGTGGACGGTTGGTCGATAGGTTCTTTGATCAATAAGTTCTTTAATCAATCATTGGTCGGGGTCCTCAATGTATTAATTTAGTTGAATATTTAAAATAAAGTTTCTCATGACGGAGTCATTAGGGTTTGAGGGTTTGATGGAATAGTAAAAAAAATTTGTAAATACTTTTGAAAATATTTCGCACACCCTGTTACAACAAAAAAAAAATTGCATTTTTTGCATGGAATATATTTTAAATTTAGATTTCAGTGTTATTTGGTCCTAAGGTTTCCAGCGGGATGGAAAAATCCTTACGCGCAAAACTGAAGCCAAGATTTATAAATAGATTTTTTGGTGAAATTTTCATGCAGTGTCATTTTTTTCCGAGGAATTTTTAAGAGCGGATTTTTTTACTTTTACACAAATCTGTGGAATTCCACTTAAAAGTTTCCAGTGGATACCTTATTTGACCCTCTGTTTGAAGTTAATATAATTAGAATAAAATGCATTGTTATTTTTTTTGTGGAATTTTGATTCTCTTGTTATATCATATAGGATAAAATCAATTATTTACAATTTACAAATATATTAGAATTTTAATTTTGTAATTATTTTATTGATTGATTGACAGGAATGGGAAAGGAGCGGATAGGGGTATATGTTATGGTACAATTATAAATTAACATTACTATTTAAGAGAAAAATATAATAATTGCATTACATTGATTTGTCATGAGTAAGTTGTCATTAAATAATGATAGAATTCTTGATAGTTGGCATGTAAAGTGAAGATTTAATTTGAAATAATTTAAGACTTGAGGTTGGATAAATAGATAAAATTAATAAGAATTAAAATTGTATTATTGGATAAATAAATTGTATTATTGGATAAATAAATAAAATTATTAAGAATATAGTTGAAATTCTTGTATTGTTTAATAAATGAACAAAATTAATAAAAATAGAATTTAAATTGACGTATTGAGTGACATTACATTTTGTCATTGGTAATTAAGAATGACAATTTCCAGTCTACTTGGTTTTACAATGAAAAGGTTGACCGATATTATTTGAGAATTAGTCAGCTAATATATACTAGAGGTTTAAATGTTATCATGGATCATTCTGAGTGAAGTCTTGAGGACAAATTCCAGCAGGTTCTGAGGCTACTGCAATATCTTTTCTCTTTTTATCCTCTAATTAAGTAAAATGAAATAGAAATTATTGATTTCAAATAAAGTAAAGTGGTGTTAAAAAAATTGCAATAAGTTTAAGAATTAAAATTCTTGAAATTGTAATTTTTTAGATTTTAAATCTTGGGATTAAACTTGATTTTAGTAAATTGTAAGGAATTAGAAGAAATGTTATTTTCCTTGGAAAATAAAAAAAATGTAAAATATGTATTATTGGAAACCCTTTAACCAGAATTCAGGTGAGCTCTATTACTCGTTGTCTTAAGCTGGTCCAGCCTGAATTCCTGCTTCCGGATCCTCCTGATTCTTTTGATTCTGCTGCTCCTGATTCTTCTTATTCTACCAATTCTCCTGCTCCTGATTCTCCCAATTCTCCTGGTTATCCTGATTCTCCTACTTCTGATTCCCCTGCCCTGATTTTCTTGATTCTCCTGCACCTGATTTTCCTGCTCATGATTCTCCCAATTCTCCTCCTCCTGACCCTCTTGATTCTCCTGCTTCTATTTCTTATGCTCCTGATTCTCCTGCTCCTGGTTCCTCTGATTCTCCTGCTCCTGATATGGTTGGATGATTGGGTTCGGTCAAAGGATCTGGTTTGGTTGTAGAATCTGAATGTGATGTAGGATCATCAAGTTGAAGGTCAGTAGGGGATCTTGGACAACTAATGATCTGATGAAGACAGTGTTGATGGAGGTAGAGGTGAGGTGGTCCATCCAGTTGATGGTGTTGGAAAGGGATGGGGCTGTATACCAGATAATTATGGGTCAAGTTGCTTTGTAAAGGGCCACTCCCTCACTCCTGTATGCCGAGTCCATTAGGGCCTGATCCAATCAGGGTTCAGTCATGTGTTTGATGTCTATTATTGAATGACCTCCACTTTGGGGGGGGGGGGGGGGGGGAAGGAGAACCCTGAGCCATTTTTGAGGTCTTTTTCTATGGCCGAAAGTTTAAGAATTTTCCCATGTAACTTCAACTTGATCTCAGTAGTGAGGATGATCTTACCATCACCTGTGCAGGTTATGACTTTCACCCTGAAAGAGGTCCCTTGGGTGAACATGGAGGTAGGGAGGGATTGGAGGGCAGATGGCAACCGGTATCATACTGAATCCCCAGAGAGAAGTCTTCCATGGGAACATTTTCCACCAATGAAAAAGATCTGTCAGAGCTCACTTAGGACACAGAGGCGGTGGGGGTGTGGTTACTCTGCATGCTTGCATCCCAAAGGGCACATTTTGGAGGACCAACTGTAAAGGAATAATTTGCATTTGAAGGCTGGGTCATGAGTGTGGGTGCAAGTAGGGCAGACATGGTTTTCAGAGATGAGTTTGAGAATTTCCGGGGAACTTAGTTTGGTGACTCTGCAGCTGTGGTTGAGGGGGTAGTGATTAGACTGGAACCCTTTGATGGTGCACAGTGTACATGGCTGCTGGGGAGGTACATTGGGAGACCTAAAGGGATGACAAGTAACTTTGGTATTGTTGCTGGGAGGTCCATACCAAACTGGTTTGACCCTTATACTTCCAGGGGCGTAGTCTGTGTAGTAAAAAGCTTGTTTGTATCTATAGTTCTTCTCCCACGGACCCACATCTTCACAAACTGAGTGATAAACGCAAATGTTGCTGGAGGTTGTACACCCGATTACAAAACTTAATGTACTGTTTGTTGAAATCCGATTTGACTTCCATGGGGATGCATCTCATGACATTCTGGATTAGGTGTTGGGTGAGGGCTGCGTTGTGGAGGTCCTCAACATTGTGGAACTGCTGGATGATTTCAAGGTTGGCTTGAATGTTTTAATCTTGGGGATAGGTCTCCAGCAACTTCTTGAACTGATTCATAATGCCAAAGATGTCGATGCTCCTGAATTCTTCAATTAACTTGATTTTGAAGTTGTTCCGTCAGTGATGTTGTAGGATGGAGGACAGCCAGGAGTAGCATGGTATAGTTTAAAACATTTGTAAATACTTCTGAAAATATAAACCCAGGGATAAATTTGAACAGAGAGTTGTCATTGAGGGTGAGCTGCATGAGCTTCAAAGATTTATCGCATCTGGTCAGGGTGAATCCATGTGTAGGATGGAGGACAGCCAGGAGTAGAAATCATATGACTGGCCACTCCACTGGCAGTTATTTTTTGCTATACCTGTAATAAAGTACAGGTATAGTAAAAAATAAAAATGACAATGTATTAATTTAGTTGAATATTTAAAATATATCTTACTAGTTTTTACTGGTTTTAGGTGAAGGAGTGAAAGGACTGATTAGGGTTTGAGGATGGTATAAAATAGTTTTAAACATTTTTAATTACTTCTAAAATTATAAACCCGGTTTTTTAAGTGAAATTAACTATTGATTGAAAAGATATTTATGGATTTGATCTTTCATTTGGCAAAATGTTTCTCAATTTGTTGTTTCTTTGTTGGAGAAGATAGACAAATTTGAACGGAGACTTACGCACTTTGGTTTTGGTAAAGACGACAAACGGGGGGGGGGGGTTTAAGTTGTATATATGGTCAACAATAGTGCTTTTTCAATTAGAGGAAATATGAATACATTTTTTAAAAACCCTTGTACGCTACATACGTTTCAAATATTATCAAATATATTTCAAATTGCATGGCTTGTTTACAAATAGACTTGCGGATTTATGCTACAATGGTCGGCGAATATTTCAAAAAAATAAAGACAACTTTTGATTTCAAATTTGATTAATATTTAGTTGTTGAACAGCATGGATGCACATAAACATAGAAGTCACAAGAAGCTGTCAATTAAATTTGATTACTTGTAAACTTTTGATTCGATAAAAGCTTGTAAACAATCAAGCTTTAAATAATAAGATCGTCTTCATTGTATTGATTTCTATCACTATAAAATATCTCAATGAATTAAATGATCACAGTTCCACATGTTAAAGATGGAAAAAGAACAATTATATCTTCTTTTTTATTAATTAGGTTAATAGTTATAATGAAGACCATACTTTGTAAGGATGTAAGGCAAGGAAAGTTATTTCAGAAGTGTACACATCTTTAGTACTGCAGTTTACTGTCTCTGGGCGGTAATGTAAACACAAGACGGATGTCACAGCCTGACATGGGATCCATCTTTCACATAAAAAATCCATGAAATATTCTGGTCATAGGAAACTATTATGTGAATTATCAAAATTATCAAAATTTAATGCTTTTAACCTCCTCGGATACTAAACGAACACTGTTGCATCTATTATTGTTTACTAATTCCGCCCAGAGAGAACTGGTTTCAATATGTACACAGAGTATACACAACCGCAATTGACTTTCCTTGCCTTACATTCTTGATACTTTGTATCGGACAAACCTCAGTTTAATTTGCAATTACAAATTCAGCAGATCTACAATCAAATTAAGGTAAAATTACAAATATTCTATAATTTAGATATAATCTAAAATTGTGAAAATAGATTTAAAACCAATATTTTTTGTCACCTGTTCAATCAAAACTATGATACCAAGAGTAAAATAATGCATTTTCTTTCATTATGTATCTGAAAAACTTAAACCTCAAATTAATGTTTTCCTTTAAAAGTAATTTCTAAAGTAATATGTAGGGTAAAATCAGGACCATAATTTAATTTTGGGTGTTTTAACTTATAATTTAAGATAATACTAATAAGTATTGAATTCATTTATCCTCATTATTATTATTATCTTTATCTATTTACAAAAAGTTGTAATCTCTGTTTGCCTGTCTGTTCTTTTGTCCAATCATAACTAGGAACCCCTGGCCCGATTTGCCTCAAATTTTATATAGGAAACTCGGGAGAACCACGGGTATGTTCTTAGCTTGGTTTAGAGATTTTAAGTTGTGTTGGTCGACTTTTATCAGAAAAAATGGCTAAACTAATAGTTTACGACAAAGCACGGGTAAACGGTGGGAATAACCATGACTACCCTGGGCAACGCTGGGTTCCCAAGCTAGTTTTGGATACAATTGATGTTATTATAAACATGTTAATAATTTTTATTATTAGTTTTGCTATTATTATTACTATCATTATCATATTTTTGAATATTATTAGCATTATCTTCTACGCTTTAATATTAATATCATTATTATCATTATTAACAATATTACCAATATTTTCATATCTTGCAAATCGGCTTGTGAATTGATATTTGACGGTGCCGTGACAAACTCCTGAAAGACAAACTCCTGAAAGACAAACTCCGGAAAGACAAACTCCGGAAAGACAAACTCCGGAAAGACAAACTCCTGAAAGACAAACTCCGGAGTTTGTCTTTCAGGAGTTTGTCTTTCAGGAGTTTGTCACGGCGCCATATTTGACTGAGTTATATTTTATTTACATTTTCTTCATTTTATAAAAAGATAAAACGTGAATTTCCTTTGTAATATCTAGATTTTCTCAACATAATTTACACAAACTAACCTTTTTACGAATACATAATACATAACATAAAATGAAGTTTTGGTCTTGACCAGACACTGAGCTTAAACAATTCAGCTCAATTTTTTGTATACAAATTGAAAATTGTCTATTTAGACTGAAAAGTATGCAGGATTTTCTAAGATAAATTTGAAAATTTAAAAAGATAAACGCAAAGCGTTCTTGCAAGCCGGCTCTACTAAACTGATCATCAGCAAAGCAATGACAGGCAAAAAGAGGCCAGGCAAGGAGTTGAAATATTTATAAATGATTTTAGTGTTTTTTTAAAAACTGATTTATCGTTCAATAAATCACAAATAATGTGCAATATGAATAGGGTTTAGTTTGCAGCTTTATATACAAATAACAAATATTTTTTTGCTAAAATATTGATTCGTTTTCTCTAAAAACAAACAATTTAGTCTTAAAGTTTAAATTTAATATATTCGGTTTTTTTGCTAATAAAGAATTATAAATAAAGGTTTAATCCACATAAAATACCGTCTTCAATTGACTTCCATGTTTTTGTGTATCAAAAAATAATGTACAATACAAGGGTTTAGCTTTGTGTTCAACAATCACTTTTTTAATACTAAGTTCTTCATTGAAAGCTACCAAACTATATACACTACATTAAACTGTATAAACTATATAAATTATAGCAACTATATACACTATAGTTAATTATTTAACCTACAGTAAACTATATAAACTTCAGTAAACTATATAACTATAGTTAATTATTTAACCTACATAAACTACATTAAACTATATAAACTACAGTAAACTATATAACCTACATTAAACTATATAAACTACATTAAACTATATAAACTACAGTAAGCTATATAATCTACAGTAAACTATATAAACTATATTAACTATATAAACTACAGTAAACTATATAAACTATATTAATTATATAAACTACAGTAAACTATATAAACTACATTAAACTATATAAACTACAGTAAACTATATAACCTACAATAAACTATATAAACTACATTAAACTATATAAACTACATTAAACTATATAAACTACTATACAGTACACTATATAAACTACATTAAACTATATAAACTACAGTAAACTGAACTGAATGTAAGTTCATCTATTAACACCGGAAACTCTAACCTGCAGTTTTTAGAATTCAATCTGTATTCAAATATAAAATCAACATATAATAGCATAAATTTATATATATATTTATATAGCTTTATATTATAGGTTTGTCTCTCTGGGATCTGTATCCCATGAAGATCAAAAACGAATTAACAAATTGGGTCCAATTTATTTTTTGGCTGTTTCACATAACCACAGGGTATGTTCATGGAGACTTAAATATGAAAAAAATTCTTGGAAAAATAGTCGATTTAACACTAGTTTTTAACATTCAATCTATATTCAAATATATATAATCAGAGCTGAAAACTTTTGAATGGGATATCCTTAATTCCGATCGGATAATTAATCTGGAGATTAAAAATGAGAGGAGAACAAGCAATATTTAATCTCGAGATTAAGAAAAAGAGTGGATTAAGCAGTAATCCCAATATCCACCATTCTAAAGTTTTCAGCTCAGATGAGATCAAAGCATATAACAGCATAAGTCGATACTAGATATAGGGCTGGAAACAGGAAAAATGCATTTTTTTAAGGACTTCAGTCGTGGTTTTAATAGGTATGTTTTTAAACATAAATCTGAATTAATGTGAGCGTGATTGTGACAATCAGAAATTCGGACTTCGTCGATTTTCTGTTTAAAAAATTGAAAAATTTTGACGATTTACCTCCTCGACTCTGCAGCATAAATCTACAATATGCTTAAGCAGAAAAGCTGCTCTTAAGAATAATAAGTTGTCAGCTAGAAAAAAGGATATATCATTCATCTTTGAATAGACAAATGTTTAAATATATCGTTGTGAAATGTACAAGCCACTTCAAACTAATGCTATTTGCCTTAATTCAAATCCTTCATGTTTTGAATAATATTTTATCCTGTTAAAGAGCTACTGAGAAGAACAAACGTGTTTCTAAATTTGTGTAAACAAATAAATTTGCTTCTCTTATATTTATCCGTAAAATCAAAACTAGAGGAGCATCGATATCACACATGGTTTCATCGCTATTATCGCATAAATTTGACATTCTTCTTATGTGTTTAGTGGGGTATGATGCAATATAATAAAAGTCACATAAAATTGTGTCAACAGCACCTTACAATTGCGGTTTAACTGGATTTTGAAAATGTCTATTTAATATAAAGACTGAGAATAAATGTGTAATTATGAAAATCTGAGTTTGCGGCAAAAAATCATTTCCTTCATACTTTTTCTTTTTTCTTCAACAAATTTGTTTTTAGAAAAATAATCTGTGTTTTTGTATCAATGCTTATCACTAGTTGTTGTAAAAGCACAGGTGTTTATCATAAAAAAAGAGTGTTAAAATTTGTTGAATAAACGGCAGGAAACATTAAAATAAACCCTTTCATAAAACTACAGAAACTCCGATGACAAATGATTTTAAATGTTGTTAAAAAATATATCGTTTTTTCAAATCATATAGAAAATACGCCATCAATTCATTACAGTGCAGGTTTTTTTTATTTGTATAGATAAAAAGGGTGTCTTACTAACATGACAATAATAGGCATAGAGTGTATCTTTTAAAGGGACTGTAAGCGTCATTTCTAGGGTGTTTCCCAAAGGTACTTTCCCAAAGGTATTTTCCCAGGGGCGACCTCCCAAGTGACAGTATCCCAAGTGGCAAGTTCCCAAATTGGCGATTAACCAAGCGGCAACTTTCAAAAGGTTAGGCTGGACCTTCTGAGGCGCCGCAGGCTGCAATGGGGCCGAGCGCTGCGGCTAGGATGGGCTAGGGGGCCGAGCGCTGCCACTTGGGAAAATGCCCTTGAGAAAAGGCCTTTGGGAATTTACCTAACATCATTTCTAGTGCTCCTCCATACACTTCCCTCACTACCACCGGCTTTTTAAAATCTAAATATCAACATTTATTCAAAAAAAAAAATTTTCTTTTTCCATCTACCCCCGCTTCCACCTAGTTCTTAAAATCTTATTTATTCAAGAAATATTTTTTCAATTTTCAACTAAATGTTATCTGCAAAAACATTTTTAAACTTTTTAAAACCTCAATGTGAATTCAAGAAAAATTGAAAATGTGTGCCAATTCCCTGTACAGACGTCTGTGCAAAAATCTGTTCAAAATTTCTTTGCAAAAATTGTTCAATTTGTTTTTTTTCCAGAGAGCTATACAATGTTGAAATTCAATAGATTTAGTTTGGTATAGTTAAATTAAGGCATTTAGGCAATATGTCTGAGGACTCAGGCAATAAGTGTAAAAGCCCAGTGATGAGCATGTGTTAGAAAGAAAAGTCAGAAATTTTGAGCTTTCAATTTTATATAAATCTAGCAGGGAACCCGGCTTTGTCTTAATTTGGTTAAACTAATCTTTTTCTATAAACCAACCGAGTATACAACCAAACTAAGAACATTTCCTTGGTGCCCCCATTAAAATTCAAAGCAAAGAGAGATTTTTACTTTCATGTATATATATGTATATGACTTCACCATGCAGTTAATTACAATAAAGAAATTGAGTTTTTGCCACAAACTCTGATTTTCTAATCCCTATATCTTTGAACCCAATGTAGTATACCTTAGATATTTCAAGCTTTGAATTCTGTTGGATCAAATAATCTAATTGTTTGAAATGTCAATGTTTACACCATCAGGTTGCAAAGATATTGGGATAAGAAAGTTTGAGCTTGTGGAAGAGACTCAATTCCTTTCTGTCTCTCTCAAATAATCTATCTGACCAATGTCTGAAAAGCTAGTTTAAACCCTTGGTGAACAAAATTAGGTTTACTCGGAGTTATTCCATTCAGGGTGTCCCACGAAACATGACAGCTGACTAATAGATTAGAATGTTTTCTTCTATAATTTGTTAATAGGTTTGTTACCAAAGAGAATAATAAAAATATTATATGTGAGTCATATTATAGTAAAATTGATTTCAAAAGTAAAATATATTTTAGCAAAAGATTTTTTTAACAAAATGAACTACAAAAAGCCTTTAATATCTAATAGAGTATATGGAAGAAGACAAATTCAAAACTATTCACCAACGTACTATCATGTTTAATATGGGACACCCTGTATAATCAGGGTTCAATGATAACATCGGACGACTTATGAATCTAGAATTTGAAAAAGTTTATTATATATGATAGATTTGAAGTTTGATAAATGATTAATCAAAACTTGGGTTATCTAAAAAAACAGCAATGTTAAAACACGTTGATATAAAACTTTTCACAGAAAAAATTTAAATAGTAAAAAATACAAAATGGGAAATAATATACATAGTGTGGGAAAATTGCTCCGACAATACACTTAACCCTATCCCTGCTGGGGTACTTGAAAACCAGGGGGGGGGGGTCAATTTGACCCCCCCCTCTAAATCCCATGTTTGATGTCCAAATATGACAAATGATACATCATTTGAAAGCTCTTGTGCTATACTTTTAGAATCTTCAAAAAAATTTGCAAATTTGCAAAAATTGAATTTTTTATCGCAAAATCCAGTTATATAGTAAAAATGTTTGCAAAAAAAAATTTGTCCAAAAAATGAAAAATTATACATTTTTGAAAACCCCTTGACCATGCCATTTTTTTCTTATCTAATTATTCTTTTTTCGTTCCTTTAACAAAACGTGTCGCAGGAGGACGAGAACTTTTTAAAGAAAAACATGTTTAAGATTAAAAACATATATTTTTAATCAATACAAGAAAAAAAAAATATAAAAAATATATATTTCTATGATTCGATAAAAATTGATTCTTTTCTTTTTTCTTTCTCCAGAAGAGGAATTGCTTTTGCCAAATCTGCGGCTTTGTCCATTTCCACCTAAGATCAATTATTTTAATAAAAGCCTTAAATGTAAAATAGAAACAAGGTCGGGGTTCACTAGAAGATTCATCTGTTCAAAAACTTTTGTAAAAATGTACATAAAAAAATTATTTTTAATCCATATAACTCTTCTAAATAAAACTAAGGAAGTCGGAAAAAAACACGATTAAAAATGGATTTTGACCTTAACTCGAGCATCTATCTTTCTTCCAATGAGTCCATGAAAGATTGCATAAGCAGTTCCAAATCCAAATGCTACAATTCCAAAAATCCTGAATAAATAAATAATGAACAGTCCTAATTATAAAGACCCGGAATTAATTTACAATTAATCAGACGACTTTACAATCTAATTTTACAATTATTATTGATGAAACGATAATCGCAAACTATTTCCAAAATGTGGTCTGCCTTTTTTTGAGTATTTAAAATTGCTAGAGATATATCACTGCGAGGCAAGATGTGCTCGCTTTCACGCAAACATTGAGGAGTATTTTGCCAATTACACCTTTATATATGTCCAGGGCTACAAAACAGTATAAATGAGTTTTTTTATGTAAAACCAAAGGCCAATGCCTTTACTTTTGAATGCTTATTAAAGCGGTATACAGCGTTAATCTTGGCATAACCTAAACATTTTAATTATAATTTATGTAAAGTCATCTGATTGAATGATTTCAAATAAAAGTTTTTGGAAAATGATTTTTACCCAATATTTTTACATATATTTCATATTTTCTTAACGAACACGGACTTAAATTATTAATATTCAAATGAGTTTAACCCAACGAGGTTATAGTATATAGAATGATGATGTGCTAATCCTTTACTAATTGTTCAGGCCGTGTACTCCAGTTTCAAAGGTCAGTCTGTATGTTACAGTACTTGGGGGTATTTGTCACGTATGTTCATGATTGGTCTTCTATTTATAAAAGTGGAATGTCAATCGAAGAACGGTAACCTGATTAACATTAATTCTAATTCATTTTTCTTGACAGTAATTTTTCAGACCATAGGACAATTACAGGGTGATCCAAATAGTAGAATACAGCTTTAACACTAAAATGCAAGCAAAATACTGAACTGGAAGGAAGGGAGGGGACAGAAAGTGATACGGGTAAAAAAATTCTTCCCCCTTGGAAATTTTGAAGGGAATTTGGTCCCTTTTGTGTCAAAATCATGACCAGCTGGGGGGTGGACGGGAGATTATGTAATACCAAGATTTAAATTTTTATAAAAATATTCATTTTGAGTAATCAAGTGGCAAGCAAAACTTTGAATCATTTCTTAAAATCTAAATTAAATGGCTACAAGTTGCCTGCTCTATCTACTTTCGCAACTCATTTTCGAGGGGAGAAGGACAGGACTCAGTTTTCCAGGGAAGGGTAATTCCCCTTAATTTTCTGGGGGGTTGGTGTCCCCCTTTCCCCCCTCACATTAAGCCGACTCTGACAATATTTCATTTTCACTAAAGGTTCTGTGAAAACTATGTAAAATTTAAGATACAAAACCTCCCCAACTTATACTTCAAAAGCGTACTGCATATTTGATGTTTGTACTGTATGAATAGCCCATAATCTCTAAATATCCTATATCAGTAAACTGTCTTAATTATACACTCAGGCTAATACACACAGCCAGGTAGCTAAGTTCCAGCCCCCCCCCCTGGTTCAACCAAGTGCTTTAAAAATCAATTATAAAGTCATGCACATGGTATGAGCACTCTGCACAATTGCTATGTCTCATCTTCAAATTGGACAATTTAAGATTGTAACTTTATGATAAAAGTCGTCTTTGTATTCCAGATTTTCCTTGTTCTCATTGTGTACATTCATACATACTACATAGATTACCTGAAAGCTAGTGCAGTACTCTTGAGCTGATCCTTGAGAATACCTCCAAAAAGTCCTCCTATACCCTTCCCAAACCCAAAATGTGCTCCACCAGACAATCCTGTCATAGTAGCCAGGGTTCCAGGAGGAGCATAAACCTTAATGTGTTGAATTCTTAATCGTTTCAGATCGCTTTTTCAAAACTTTTAACAAAACTTGAAAAATTCTAAACTGTTCAGGTTTTATAAACTTTGCAATTGGGCATCCTAAAATATGGAAAAATCTTGAAACGGATTCCAAAAGAATCGTTTTAAAACGTTAGTTTTTGGATCGTTTAACTCTAAGAAGGTAGAAAACTAGCTTACCTTGATATATTTAGCTTGAATGACTCTAAGAAAGTAGAAAACTAGTTTACCTTGACATATTTAGCTTGACTGACTCTAAGAAGGCAGAAAACTAATTTATCTTGATATATTTAGCTTGACTAACTCTAAGAAGGTAGAAAACTAGCTTACCTTGATATATTTAGCTTGACTAACTCTAAGAAAGTAGAAAACTAGCTTACCTTGATATATTTAGCTTGACTAACTCTAAGAAGGTAGAAAACTAGCTTACCTTGATATATTTAGCTTGACTAACTCTAAGAAAGTAGAAAACTAGCTTACCTTGATATATTTAGCTTGACTAACTCTAAGAAGGTAGAACACTAGCTTACCTTGATATATTTAGCTTGACTAACTCTAAGAAGGTAGAGGGTGAAAACTTCTAATGTTTCAAATGGAAAAGCGTACCAAGCACAGGTTATATAGGAATAACCAACATACCTGAATTATATATTTTTAAATTAAGACATAAGTGTTAAAGGGACTGTAAGCGATATTTTAAGTGACCTTTCATGCAAAGATGGCAATGTACGATTCACCACGGTAACCTTTATCTGATAAATAATGTGGAAGATATTGCTGTTTTTCAGGTTTTTAGGTGTTAAGTTGTGTAGGCACTTTTGTAGAGAAATCAGAACTGAAAATAATCAATTTTCAAAATCATAAATATTCATATTTAATTCATGCTTTATCAAATAAAGCTTTTATGGGTACCATTGTGAATCGGACATTGCCATCTTTAAAAAGAGGGTCACTTATAATTGAGCTTACTCCCTTTAAGAGTAAAATGTTCATAATTTATAAAGTGATTATTTGATTGATTGATGAAAATTAAAAACTTGTATTTATTTTACAACAAAGATGAAGTAACATTATTTATTCAAAGAAAAGAAGACAGAATTCAGAAATTCAAGAAATATAAATTAGAAATCAGGAACCTAAAGAAATCACAACTTTTTGCTGAATTCTATATTAGAAGTATTTGAAGGAGGTAATTATATTTATTTCAATTTAAAATTGATACTTTCTATATATCTCTAATATCTAAGCAATTACTTTAGTACAGTGTTTCCGAAAAAGTTTCAAATTAAGTTGATAGATAACTGAAAAATTGTCTTTGATCCTTGATAGCAATATCTAATGAAATAGATTTCCATAATGCGATGATGTTATGGTCACCCTACGAAAAGCTTACAAGTCCTGCAACTTTTTTTATGCACGATTTTTCCTGAAATAGCTTTAAAACTCAAAAAGATTTTTTAGTTGTCTTTAAAGTTTAATGTTTATTGGGACACCCTGTACCTTGACTTACCTAACTCCATACATGAGCAATGCCACAATGATAATATTAACCATTCCACATTTGTCCACAATAAAATGGGAATAGTAAAGGAATGGTATAGATACAAGGGCTCCAGCAGTTATTGTTAATCCAAGCAGATAAATCGGAGCATTCAAATCTTCCTGAAAATTACAGTGAAATAGATAAACGACTTTCAGAATCATATAAAGTCCAATAAGCACGAGACACATCAAGTCTGGTAAAACAATTTGCTTCGTTGTAACATTAATTATTCTCATGTATTGATATAATGTCGGTTTCCTTTTCCATATTTTTCTGGTTCTCACTGTACAAGAAATCAAAGCAGGGTATTACAATATGTGCTTCACGTTTAAACTTTTTCGAATATGTAGCCAATTTTTTGCCTTTGGTTAAATAATTTAAGTAATTCATTTTTAAAATTGGAAACAATGGAATTTTCGTTGTCTTAATTTCTTATAAGTATAGATACGTTGTGTAGGATTTTATAATTACCCACAAAGGAAGATATTTCAGAATACTTAATTCGATCTTGAAACGTCATATTTAAAGAGTATTGGAACTTCTTTACAATCTTATCCTTTCTTGGTAACCCTGTAGTCAGGGGTAACAATTACATATTACACACCCCATGAGCAGCATTTCTCAAACACAGACACAGACGACTATTTTCTTACAGTTTTCTGGATCAACCTGTGTGTTAAGATTTCAAACATTTAAAAATACCTTTAAATATACGAAAAGGAATGTTTCTACAAATCCGTACATGGTTCCACAGGCCAATATCATAAATAGGAATATTACACAGCAAGGGTTGGCGAATATTAACTTTACTCCTTTCATGGTGTCAGAGTCCTTAGGCAGTCCAATATCCTGCAAACATTTTAAACTATTATTTAATTATTATTTAACTAGCGAAATTGCCCGTGATATTAAATAAAACATTTAAAAAATCTAAGGTTCAATCTTGGACTACGATTTGACAAAGAGTTATATATATAAGAAAGGATCTAACCTTGCCTATAAAGCATGTACATATAATGGTTCCAACTAGTAAGATATCACAAATCACAAATGGTGCAATGTAGTTTGTTGATCCTGTTAACTCAGTGATTTTGTCCATCAGAATACCAACCTTCATATTACCATTTTTAGTATTATTTTTTGTTTTGTTTTTATTTTGTTAACCTTCATATTATCACTTTTAGTATGATTTTTATCATTATTATTTTTTTATTCTTTTATTTGTTAACCTTCATATTATCACTTATATTATTATTTGTATCATTATTATTTTTTTTTTAATGTTTTTATCAAGATTAAAATTATAATCAATATTTTTTATATATTATTATCAAATTTTGTAGATCACTCTTATTTTCATTATTGTTATTATTATTATTGATCATTTCATCATAATGTTATTTTTAATACAGAATTGTTATTTAAATGTTTACTTTTACAAACTAAAGCTTACCAAAGGTGATATTATCGCTTGTGCCAGGGTCTTGTACATGATTTGTCTACCATAGGCACCTACAATAAATAATAAGCATTGAAACCAAGTATCAATACGACTATTTGGCCTAAAGTTTTCGTTGGATTTTGAATAATTTACTCCTTTCAAAATATTTTTATTTTTTATTTAAAAACCTGTTTTTCCGGCGTCTTCTTCTACCCTACACATCTACAAGTAATTTTTACAGTGAAAGTAGAAGTAAGAAGATGTGAACTAAGGCGAGCAGAACTAAGGAGAGAAGAACTAAGGAGTGTAAAACTTCGGAAGGTAGAAATAAGGAGAGTAGAACAAAGGAGAGAATAACTAAGGAGTGTAAAACTAGGAGGGTATAACTAAGGAGAGTGTAGAACTAAGGAGTGTAGAACTAAGGAGTATAATACAAAGAAGGAGTAAATTTTTACATTTTACCGACATTTTTTAGGGACTTTTTAAAAAACTCCCTTGCAGTGGTATTTTTTTTCTTGAATGAGCTGGCCTTAAAAAATTGGACTATGAATATGCAGTGCCACCCATTACCTTTACTCTTAGGCCTTTTCACAGGCTATACATAGATTCAGGACTTTATAAGATTAATCAAAACGTATGCAATAGGGCTAACCTCTGCTTACCTGAATAGTTTGAGCATCTAGCATGATAAAACAGCTTGCAAGACACATAGTGGCCAACATTCTTAGTAGGAAATATATAGCATTGGTTGTCATTCGACCCTCACCCTCGACTATTTCACAGTAACTAAGAAATAAAGAATGTCTTGTTTTTTATTAAAATACGCTCTTTTAGAACAGTAATAGAGTAATGCAAGAATATTTTGAAATTCTACATTTTATTGCTTGCTTACAAATGAGCTGCAAAAGTCACAAAGTCGTGCCGGTAATTTCATAACTTTCCTTGAGACAGATGGTATAGTACACAAGATTAGTGATGTGCAATGAGTTTTTTCTTTTGGATTCTGTTTTGAGGGCTTGTTGAAATGTTCCACAAAATTTAAGAAATTTTACAAAGTTGAAAAATGTTATCAGAAACCCTTGATTTTCTTACACTATGCAACAAGTTGACCAGAGTTAAAATAGCAAGACACAGACCACAAAAAATCCCAAACGATCCTAAATGAATCAAAAAACGAACATGCTAAAACAATCGTGTGCAAGATTAGTTTTTTCTTCTTTTTTATTGAAAAATTGCAAAGTTTAATCTAGCAAACTTTAATAGAATACAATTGTGAAATGTTGAAGGTTTTATTTAACGTTCTTAAAATCGATAGATAGAAAAATTGGTTTTCCCTGAAGTTTATTTTGAATTGTATTATACTTTAAACGGATAAAGTTTAATTGATCAAATAAACTCCAAAAGAAAGTTTTGTGAAAAAATAATTTAAGAAATGAGACAACAAAATAACGAATAAAATAATAAAATAAACTATAACTTTGGATCACAGCTAGTGACATTAAACTCGACTACAATTGACTTTAAAAAGTATTTGATCCTAGACAAAAATAAGGCTTTAATTGTTACCAAAAAAAATATTAGAAATGTCTGTTAAAAACTACCTTACAATATTTGTTTCAGCAATACAATCGATCGCACAGTTTTCAGGAAGATTAAAAAACTAATAAATAAAGGTTTCAACAAAAATAATTATATATATGCTATTTTTCCATTAAATTTCCCATTTACTGATTGATTCTTTACATAACGAGATCGTAAACATAATTCAAGTGCTTCTCGTTTTATGGAGTGGCATATACGATTTACAACAGTACCCCTAAGAGATTTTACTGATTAAGAGATCATGCTTATGCTTTTCAAAATTGATTATTTTTAATTCAAAAGTGGTTTTTCTAAAAAAAGGGACTCACTGTTTTGAACTGTTAAAACTACATTCGCGCACAGTTCCTTTCAGCAACAACAGCAAAAGAAAATACATATGTTTTTTTCCTTATAAATTATGTAAAAATGTGCTAATAAAAACAAATTTGAATAATGTCAAACTGAAACCTTCCTGAGATTGAAGACCAAATTGGCACGGATCCATTTTAAATCCAAGAGTAAAGTTTGCTTCATTTCTCTGGGTATGAAGAATAGTAGGGATGAAGGAGGTTAGTAACATTGATCCTGGTTTATCCAGAGGCTCTGTACAGTACGGAGATAATAGAGAACACACATCAACCTAGTAAATGTTCATGAACATGTACAAGCTTAACCATCATATGTCAAAGATGACCTAAGATTTTGCTTAGTCTCTACCATTAATTTATATCCTGCAAACCGCAATTTTTCTAATCATCGCAACCCTATGATAATTCAAACTGTAAAATTCTGAAGGATCTAATGGACAGAGTTTTAAAAATCTAAAGTTTAAACCATCAGGTTTTATAGATATTGGGATCAGAAAATTATGATTTGAGCCGATTTCTGATGTCTTCTTTATTCATTTACAAATTTACCTTTGTACATGTAGAGGTGCAATTTGTTAGGCTAAGCTGAGTTTTAGTTTTATTCCTAAGACTTGGAATTATATCAGTTGACTGACAGTCAGTCCATTTCAGTTGTAGTTCTGACCCCTCTATAACAAAATTTAGATTTTTTCTTTAAAAGTGTTAAACACTGAATTTTTCTTCAAAATCTTGTAGATTAAGAGAGAGCTCTATTTGCTAGAGCAATGCCAGAAACTCTTAATCAAAGCTTTGCTTTAAAATAACGAAATTAGAGAAAAAACACCTACAGAGGGATAAAAAAATTCTGTGGAACAGCTTTAAAACATCACTGCGCAATCTTTTATTGTCTCTTGTTCATTCTAAAACCTTTACTTTAGTCTATCAGTTAAAGCACAACCGATGTACATTTGAATATTCCTACAATGAGAACCAGAAAACAGAAAGACAACATCACAGTGAATTCCATGTCGTTAAAAAGCAAAAAAATTAATTAGTAACTTATTAAATCACTTTTTCAGTTACATATAAGGGTCTGCTTGAGTCTAAAATGTCGTTATCTATGCCAGAGTTTTCTGGTTATCCTGCTACATATAAGGGTGTGCTTGAGTCTAAAATGTCGTTATCTATGCCAGAGTTTTCTGGTTATCCTGCTACATATAAGGGTCTGAATGAGTCTAAAATGTCGTTATCAATGCCAGAGTTTTCTGGTTATCCTGCTACATGTAAGGGTCTGCTTGAGTCTAAAATGTCGTTATCTATGCTAGAGTTTTATGGTTATCCTGCTACATATAAGGGTCTGCTTGAGTCTAAAATGTCGTTATCTAGAGTTTTCTGGTTATCCTGCTACATGAATGAATGTTATGAAACAAAAGATTAAGTTTAATTTATATTCAATTTTCTTAACATTTGAGACTGAAATGTTAGTGAAGTTCAGTTTATTGTATGCCACTACCAAAGTTTAAATTGAATTTTTTTGGTTGTTAAACGGAAATGGACAATAATAATAAAAAAGTAGGCTTAATGTAGTCAAACGAACAAATTTTTTGTGATACAAAAATATTGGCAATACAAACATATTTTTTATCACAGAAAAAAAATCGTTTTATTTGATATGGCACAGTAAAAAAAACACCGTTAAAAATTAAATTAAAACTCTTTTTCAAATTAAGTACCGTCTGCAAAGCATTTATGTATATAACTCATATGATAGGTTGTGCCGGGTCGATCCTTTCTCCATTATATGCTACACTCCTTGAGTCTGCTTCAGACTGATTCTATTTGAATTTACATTTTCTAAAGCGGTAGAGGAACCTGTGGGTCTCAGTGTATTAAAGTTCTTGTTTTGTTAGTTTCCTATATGTACTGTTGTATCAGGATACTGAATAATATTATAATTGAACGGAACAAACAGAAGAAGAGAATGGAAAATCCCACAACCGACAATACACAACTGAAGCACTCTAGAACAAATAGAATTAACAAAAAGGCCTTATTGTTCAAAGCTGCAAAAACTTTAGAATGGGATATCCTTAATCCCGATACGTAAATTAATCTGGAGATTAATAACAAGGGGAGAACAATCATTATTTAATCTGGATATTAAGAAAAAGAGGAGATCAAGCATTAATCTCGATATTCCCCATTCTAAAGTTTTCAGCTCAGA